CTTATATTTCTCGTCGCCATGTTCCCACCAATGGCGTAGCTCTGCTCTCTGCATATAAACCCACATACAACCCACAATTCCTCCATTGGCTCTCACGAAGGGCTAACGCTCGAAACCTCAGCTTACCTTTTTACCCCCACCGACGCAGCACCATAGTTTCTTTAGAAACTTTCAGCCTTTATAATTTTCTTCAACGTCAGGAATTGACGGTTAGATGTTACTTTTCTCTGCGTCTGAAAGCGATTTGAAACAGAGATAAGATCATCCATCTAGTCCAATTTTCTATTATCAAATGGACGGAATAGCTACAGAAAAGGACTCTTACACTCGTTGATAAGGCCTTTGTTAGGTCAGTCGTGAAATGTTATATAAGGTCAGGGAGTCGGCTGCATCTAAGAATGGAACGGTTTACAAGAGGACAATTATGAACTGAAAACACAAGACAGAGCAGCTACGATCCATAGATGAATAATAAATAGAATTTTATCAATTCGAAGAAAGGTTTTCTGAAGAGTCTGAGGCTTCGACTTAAATGATGTCTTTTGATAATTCAGTTGAGTGGCAGCGTATAATTTAGCTAATATTCTGAAACCAGACATGTGGGATGTCTTCTTAGTTGTTTGGGAGTCAGGCAACGTTCGTCAGGCCGACGTTGATCCATGTAGTAAATTGGTGAAGAATATGGCGGTAAACTTTCCTTAAAAAGACATGTACAGGAAAAATGTCGGCAACTGAATCTTTCCCACGCTTTAATGGCTGGCCGAGATAGATTAAGGGTTTGACAAGTTAAAAATTACTTTACTCGACGAACCCTACGTTTTAAGTGACGGTGAGTGAAGTTTGTGGAGATGCTTGTACTGTTTTTATCAAAGCTTGACTCTGAGCCGTAACTTACACTTCCCGACGAGGAAATTTCCCACCTCAACGGCTGATTCGTTTTTTAAGGTTCCTCGCATCCCAGAACGGGCTTCACCAAAGAAAAATCAGCACACAGGCAAAAGAAAAGAGCGTATCCATGATATACAATTATACCGTTTTAACTGTTGTAGAAAATCAACGGTAGAGGTTATTTGCAAAACATATTTCGCACGTGAAGGAATTGAACGGCCCGCGTGGCCTAGGGAGCCCGCTGACAAGTCCGTAAATTGACTGCTTTGCAAGGAATTGAATGCAATTGACTTGAGCCTATACTTGATCATTGCAAGTTAACTAATTCCTTTTTTTCCTACTTCCACAAAAACGATTACTCTATACAATCAATCAATCAATCAATCAATCAATCAATACTTTATTTACCCACGTAGCGTCAAGAAGCCCGTGTAGCTCGTTCAAAATACGTACGTGCCAAATCTACAACTTTTTACTCTTTACTAATACTCTTTCAAACAACCAAAATTCTTAAACAAAGATATAATTAAAGAATCAAACTTCAGAGAAAAAAGTTTTCAGTGCCTACGATTCAACCCTATCGATTCTCTTCGTAGCATCTTGAAAGCTACATCATCTAAATGTTAATCGTGTATAACATTTTAACTATCTTTTTCAGATTTTGGCCCACTGTGGGAGGGATCAGCTTCAACATCCTCTTTTAAATCCAAGTAAGGAGTGTCCTTCGTCATCATGGTCTCCATTCTTGACAGCAGCTGATCAAAAGATGGCCTCTCATTTGCATCCTCCTTCCAACAGTCAAGCATTAGCTCGTACCCGATAAGAACAAATACGCAGCATCATTGTCAAGAAGCAACGCTTTAAACGAAATGCAATCAATAATCTAAAAACAGATAAAAGCGATATCGCTCGACTTGCAGATAATAATTTTGTACAAAGTGAAGCTCTATAAAAGAAATAAATGCACTTAACCCAGTCTATGGTACTATGGCGATAACACGTTTACCATATGGTTGTATGTGTTTTTTT